GTCTAGTAGCGGTAATCAGAGAATTGTGAAGGATAGGTTCGGGTTCGACACGCGAGTGTTTGAGATCAGTCGGACCGGGGTTTGAAGACGAAAGGTTGTTCAAACATAGATTTGTAATCGGAGGTTTATACACAAGCTGTCGAAGGACTTGATTCGACTTGAATCAAGGGGTAAGAGAAGATAGCATCTACAATAACAAGGGAGTTTGTTTATTTGATTTCTATTTCATTCTTCTATATACGATTCTACAATATGTTAGATTTATATTATAAGAGCTCAATTCTATTGTTAGAATTGAGGGCAGACGTACCCCGAAGCGAGGACGACGAGGGAACTGCCTCAACAAATCCTTGTACCTTTTACCTTTCGTTTTTACATTGCTTAATATTTTTGTGGTTTTAGTACAAGCAATTGTATCAAATTTAGGACTGTTTTGAGTAAGTGACGAACTGATTTTGACTCTAGTACAATCGTTGATTGTACAAGGAAACTAGAGCAAATTACTCAAAGCTGAACTCACTTGTAGTGCTCTGCACTCCAAGTGTTTGATAAATTGCCTGAACGAAAAGCCTTGTGTGATGTCCATTTATTGTGGTAATATTTTAAGGCATTGGAACTAGTCATACCACATTGTGAGCTAAATCAAATTGAGAGTGTGACTTGCGTAGTGATTCTTATTACTCGTTATCCGATTCTATCGGCTAAAATGCATATCCGGTTTTCTAGTAACCTTTTGTTATAGACGGTATTTTTCCACGACCGCTTTCGTAAATTAAAAAAAAATTTAAAACCATCTATTCAACCCCCCCTTCTAGATCCGTGTCATCGCCTAATAGACTCCCCCTCAGTATTACCGGAAATATTTGTCTAAAGTCTCCACCAAATACGACAACCTTCCCACCAAATACCTCACTGGAGTTGCTACTGCTACTCATGATATCCGTTAAAGTTCTGTCAAGATCTTCAAAACACCATTTATTTTCCATCGGCGCCTCGTCCCAAATTTTTAATTTAGCCTACCTAAGTAGTTCTGCAACATCTTTTTTGTAACCAAGGTCCCAAGTCGAGTTATCTAAGGTAGGTATAGGTATCTTGAACCTTGAGTGAGCAGTTCTCCCACTGGGTAACAACAACGATGCAATTCCACTGGTTGCCACAGTTAAGTAGATGTCATACTTAGATCTAATTGCACTTGCGAGTGTCCTCCACATGTAAGTTTTGTCGGTGCCCCCATAACTATGAAGGAAGAAAACACAACCTGTCTGAGTTGTAACTATAGACATGATTTCTCATATATACCTCACTGCTCATATATAATTGATTCAAAAGATCGAAAGCAGGAACTAACATGAAATTAATATAGCAATTTACAATAATTGTTTCACTTGTTACTTGTAAGAGCTGCATGAAGCGATAGAAATTCAGCCTGCATGGTTAGAAAGTCATAACTGCGTTCATCATAGTCGATTACCCAGCTGCTCCAACATATATCCGCCCGAATATGGTATTGGATATAAATCTTTAAGAATTCTGTGATTGGTCTGAAGCAGTTGTTCAATCTCAAGCAATGTAAGATTCTGCAGTTGTGCATCACTCAAAAGAAAATTTGTGACAGTCGTGGATGTAAGGTTCTTAATGTTGCTTATTTACGCAAGTTTTCTAGAAATGTAGTTGTTTTAAAATATAGTAATAATGGACCAAAAAAATAGGTTTTCAAATTTTAAATTATACCTTTATTTTGAACCAACTGCCTCTGCTAGTGCAACAAGTCGTCGGATAATACAATCCATGACTCCTTCCATACATGAGCAGACCTGTTCACGTTGCCTGACATAAGTATAATTGTAAATAGCTTACGAAGGGAATGACCTGACCCCACTCACCGGCTTCTCTAATAGCCCTAATGTATTCCCGGTCATCCTCAAGGAAACCCATAGCAAAACACGAATCCATGAACAATTTGTATTGTGTATCGCCAACCTTCCGTATTTCTTCTTAACTTGTAGGTCCTTTAACCACCGTCAGCATCATCCATAAATAAAATAATTCCCCCGTAGACGGTGGTACCCAGACCAAACGACCAATTGTAAACCCTCTTTTGCGAGGCTTCCACATTCTACTTCTTTTATGGTATATAAACATGGTGACAAACTGGTCGTATGTTAACTTTCTGGCATGTGCATAATTCTAATTTGCAAGTAACTATTGAAATTCTGGTATGCAGATCTCATATGTCCCAAGAACATTGATCTCTGCTCAACAAGGACGAGGACAGATCATGAACAATTTAAATTTCTTTAAATTGTTCCAATGTCATGATGTCTGTTGTAACATCAGCAGGCTGACATACCTATTTATCTAACCATTTAAATTGTGTAGAATTGTAAATGCAGAAAGATAAATCACACAATGAATTGTTAACCCAGTTCGGTGTAACATCACCTACATCTGGGGGCTACCAAGCCAGGAAGGAAATCCACTATTAGCGAAATTAATTTAGAGTTAAACCTCCATTTTACACCCCTCACTTAATCTCTACCCAATGCAATTTCAGCCTAGAGACACTCTAGTACCTGAGTATACCCACTCACTCCCCCTCAGTCATACAACAGTGATAGACAATTCAATACCGAATGATAGACTTTAGAAGAGACACTTCAAAGTCACAACACTTGGTTTTGCTTAACAGCTTCAACCAAGGACATTACGCTCTTGCTTAAAAGCTTTGACTGAGACAATGAACTTAATAGTTCATACACAATAACCAGAGCAATTATACTACATACAATTTCTTGTCACACAAGGAATTCTAAGACTCCTAGACACGTGAAGAACAACCCTCTTCACTTACAATCATGTCTACCACAATGCATCATACAATGCAAAGGGTGACATACACACAAGGGACTTTCAAACCTTAGACTTTTATTATACACTCTGGCTTTTCTTGATGTAAGTGCTTAGTTTCCCCTGCTTCTACTCCTCCTTTTATAGTAATGCAGACTGGGCTTGGGCTGGTCACAAGAAACAAACATTAGGTCACAAAAGCTTCATGTTATGTCCATCCCTGACTAGAATCTCGCCTGAGATAACTAAGAAGCCATAACAGGTTTCCTGAAATTTAGCCTGAGATATATCAGGTATCATAACAGAAAAAACAAACTCTGCATGCCTGATGTCAAATGTCATAACATTGGTCATGACATTCAACTTCATTTAAACTTGCTTTCCAGCTTGCCCTGCTGAACACTTCTGCGGAATTTTCTTCATGACAGTAGAAACAAATGTTTTATAGTTCCCTAAAAAGTCTCAAAGACCCTTTTTGTGAACACCCATTAAATCTGCACTTTATTTCTAACAAATCTCTTTGGCCTGTACATACTGATGTGGAATATCCAACAGAACCAAAACACTTCTGTCAAGAGATATAACATAGCAGCCCCTGCTGTACCAGACATTGATGTCATGATATTCAGTATGACATCTATGATAGCAGTTCTATCATCAGCTCCTGCTAGCTTCTTCTGCATCCATGACAGCAGTTCTGTCATCTGCTCGTGTTAGCTCCTGCTGCACCAGATGTCATGATATTGATAATGACATCCTGTTTACAACACATGATAGCAGTTATGCTATCAGCTCCTACTAGCTCCTTCTGCACCACTACTCCTGTTGTTTCTCACACATGACAGTAGTTCTGTCATGACAGCAGATGGATGTTGTGATGGATGTCACGATATTCAGCATGACATTCACATTAACACACTCCACAACAGTTCTGTCACCACAGCAGATGGAGATGTTATAACATCCTGCTTAACATCAGTGCAGGATCATGTTTTACCCAAAATTTAGCCAATCATAGAACCATGGACAATTCTATATCATAGAACTATAGAACTAACAACTATGTTGAAAACATAGATTCTGTAATGCTTTCCTTGTCTAAAATATTCTCCATTAGGTCATAATCGGTGTAGTACAATGGCTTTTCACCAATTAGATCGAAAAACATATGTTCAACCGCTGGTTTCCTTCCATGAATGTTGTAAGCGAATATTCGCTAACTTGCCTTGTAAGGAGATATGTATCTACAATCAAGATATTGTTTGATTTCATCAACATTCTCATATCCCTTGTGTGTATATTTGAATAGATATTTGATCGACGTACTCTGATTACACCACTCCATGTTTATATGAGCTTGGTACATCAAAAGTAGAATTGTGTTGTCGGGGACAACATGTCTATTGTCCAAAGGGATGCCATTTTTGTGAATTATGTGTATAGACGATCTTCTTTTGTATAAAGGATAGCCTTCAGCATCGACAATTGTATTCTCTATGAATCGCTTAGGAAAGAATTTGGTGCATTTTCTGTTCTTCATACACGGTGATAATTCCCTCGACAAACCACGTGGACCAAGGAGCATATGTGACTTGACCAAATTGTAGCAAGTAGGATGAAGTTCGGGGTCAGGTATTTCAGCATAAATGATTCAATCAATGTTGGATGGGGTGGGATATTTACTTTCAGAATGTAAGAATATCAGAATGTGAGCATGTGGTAGGCCTCTCTTTTGGAATTCTATTGTGTACATAACTGAAAAATTAAATAAAATGGTAAGATTCATTAGTAAGACAGTAACTGTATTAAAAAATGGAATGGTAAAGGGAAGGCTTACATGCTATAACACGACCAAGGACAATTATTCTTTGTGATGTCGCGCATTAGTTGGTTGAATTTTAATTTGAACACCTTAGCTACAATATCAGGACTGTCGTGTGTATTTACGTTATTTGGATCCAACAGTCGTTTGATTTCAGCCAATTTAGGTTGCAGGTAAAGGTTATAAACAGGTCAGGGAACCCCAACTTACTTGAAATTTCCATTCTATCGAAATAAAGTTGGTCCATGTACCTCTTGCTACCAACACAACTTGAAGGAAAAACGACATGTTTCCCTTCCTTTCCACTTTGTTGCAAAGTCCCCGCAGTAGACTATTGTTGTATGTTTTTATATTTACCACCAACCCTTAGCTTAGATTGATTTTCCTGCAACCAATTAAGAAGTTCTGTTTCCATCATCGTGTAATCGTCAACCAAAGATTGTTGGAATAGCCGTCTCAAATGTAGTAATGTTTTAGGTTCAGCAACACGTTCTTGGAGTCGGTAGCAAAGCCAATTCTTAATAGTTTTTCTGTTTTGCTTTGTCACAGTTGTTTCGTGTTGGTACTTGTGGAGTATATTATCCCTGTAACCATCTTCCCCATATGTAAAAATCAAAGGATATTGGTAGCCAAGATAAGTTGGGTAGAACTCATCCATCCTTTGCAAGCCACCATCACGCTCATGGATTATGATGTCTCTTAGTTCAACAGTGTCAACATCACCAACAATAAGTGCAGCAACCCCCAAAATAGTGGGCGCGTTATAGACCCGACCGTCACCAAGTCGACTCAAAATTAGTTTCAACCTCAAGTCTTGAAATGCACAATCCCTTAACACATCTCTCTCCATTCTAAAGGCTTTAGCATGAACATTGTTATCGTCCAACATTACCTTCAAGTTTGTGACAATATCCTTGTTAATATTTTTGTTATCCTTGCAAAAATAATGAGCACAAATGTTATCACAATAAATGATAACACTAAAGCACACTGTGTAACACCCCGATTCTGATTTCCCATTTTTGTTGAGTCTTTTTTATTTAATTGAGTGATTATTATTTTAATTGTGGAATTATGTGTTAATATGTTATGTTTGCATATTATGCTATTTTACCGATTTAGAGAGTTTTTGGAGAAAATAGATTGGAGGGTATTTTAGACATTTAGTATTTAATGTTAAGTGGATATTTTGAGAGAAATAGAATAGAAGGAATATAAGTGGAAAGAGTAGAGAAAAGAGATAGAAATAGAAAGAAGAGAAAAAGAAGAGAAAGAAAGAGAGAAGAGGAGAAAAGAGGAAAACTTGGAAATCATCAAGATCAAGCATCTAGGATTCGATTTAATCGGGTAAGGGTGAGAAATGTTTTTATTTTCTCAATGTGTATGATTATGTATGTGTTTGTTGGATTGTTTGGATTGTTGGAGAGTTTTTACTCATTTTCACTTTTAGGGAAGAAGTTGTTTAATCGATAGAAACTTATTGTTTTACGGTTAGAATTCGAGATAAATGGTGTAGTTTAGTCAAGAAATGTTAGGCTAAGGCTACTGGAACTTGTTGGAATTAAATCGGATGATTTTGTGGACTTAGGTGATTTTGGACAGTTGGGATTTTGAACATCGCAGATACTCGCTAGCACCTTCGCTAAGTGAGCAGGCCGCGAGTGTTCGCTATAGTGAGCTAGCAGCGAGCTAGTAGCGAACGGTCCCAGACTTAGGCAGAATGGAAATGATCCTCTTCGCTGGTAGCGAAGCCCCAGCGAGTAGGTAGCGAAGCCTTATAGTAGCTTCTGTTTGCCTTCGCGAGCTTGTTCGCTAGGTGAACAAGTAGCGAGTGTTCGCTAGGAACTCGCTAGGCGAGCGAGTTAGCGAGTGTGACAGCAACTTGTTTATTTTTCTGCTTCCATCCAATGTCGATAATTCCGATATATGTGTTTATAAAGAATAGCTGTGTGCTATTATATGATATGTTGTGGGCAGCCATATGGCATGAATCCTAGATTATGGAATCGATTGTGAAATGTGGCATTTTGGCATATATGTGTGCATTGTTTAAATTGATTAAAAATGCATGGTGATTGCGATAGAATCTGTTTCCGTTTGGCTTGATATTGTGAATGCATATTGATTGCATGCGATAGAATGTATGATGATTGTATGAGATTAGATGAGAGAAATGCATGATTATATATTTGTGAATATGTATGCATTTCAAGAAGTGTATGGAGTCATTTTGCATGTGAAGCATCATGATATACATTCTTGAGCTAATTGATTTTGCATAGAATCTGCTGAACGATTGTGTGCCCATGTGGGGTGTGAGCAATCGGATTGTGTGTCCTGTGGGGTGTGAGCAATCCTGAAACATCGTGTGCCCATGTGGGGTGTGAGCAATGGGTGAACATCGTAGGCCCGACGGGGAGTTACTTCGGTAACGAGCGATGGTTCAATTTGGTTCTTCAATTGAACCTGCTGAATGAGTCGGTACCGCATGTGCATCTGCATAGAGTCGTGAGTCGGTCTTTATGAATTGCATTTATCATCATGAATTGTGTATTGGTGAATAAACATAATTGTAAATGTTTATGTGAAAATGATGTGAATTGTAGAAGCATGATTGATGAATATGCTCAGTTATGAAAATATGCATTATGATGTATATGAATGAATGGTGAATATATGGATGATGAATATGCTTGGTTATATATATATATATATATATATATATATATATATATATATATATATATATATATATATATATATATATATATATATATATATATATATATATATATATATGTATGTATGTATGTATGTATGTATGTATGTATGTATGTATGTATATATATGTATATATATATATATATATATATATATATATATATATATATATATATATATATATATATATATATATATATATATATATATATATATATATATATATATATATATATATATATATATATATATATATATATATATATATATATATATATATATATATATATATATATATATATATATATATATATATATACATATATATACATACATACATACATACATACATACATACATACATATATATATATATATATATATATATATATATATATATATATATATATATATATATATATATATATATATATATATATATATATATATATATATATATATATATTGCGATATATATATGATTGAATTGTGATGAGTGTGGTGAGAATGGAGATGTGTGTAATATTATGTTAATATATAATTATATGTATTGATTATTATGATAATATTTCTCACCCTTCTGCTGTTTTATGATGCTCTATGAGGCATTGTAGAGTAGGATTGCTGGAGGTCTTTTTATGAAGCGTGGCTTCATTCTTTTTGGTCGGTTGGCTCTGATATGTAGCATCGGATAGTTAGGATTGTATATAATTCTTTTGTGATACGTTGTATATGTATGTGCTGATGAATGTAAATGAAAACATGTTGAATGATGATGTGATTCAATGTTTAGATTTTCCGCTTTTATTCTAAATATTGAGATGTGGGTGTAAGGACTAAGTTCCTCTGTTTTTAAAGTTACCCCACTGTTGTATATCTTGTTGAGCAGGTGTTGTATGTTTTTAATTTCATGGATAATGTGACATGCCTCTTTTATACCATGTTTAAATATACTCTAATAAATGAATTGTTATATGTGCCTAAATGATTTATTTGATTATTTGGAGGTATAGAAAGGGGGTGTTACATTAAGTGGTATTAGAGCCAGTGTTGAGTCAGTTGTGTCTGTCTCGTTGTTGTGTTGGTTAAACGGTTGTTTAACCTTGTTGTTATTTTTGGGAATAATCAGAATATGACTGGTCGTAACAATAATGTGATGGCTGCTGCATTGGAGGCAATGGCTAGGGCGGTGCAGGGTGCGCCGAATGTGAATGCTAACGATGAGTTCAGGAAGAATCAACCACTGGTCTTCAAAGGAAGATTTGACCACGATGGTGCTCAAATTTGGTTGAAAGAGATTGAAAGAATCTTTAGAGTCATGGGTTATGCGGAAAAGAATAAGGTGAGACTTGGGACTCACATGCTGAGAGAAGAAGCCGGCGATTGGTGGGTCGAAATGCGACAAGTTCTTGAGGTAGATGACGAAGAGATAACTTGGAATCTATTTCCTGCCAAGTTCTTGAGGAAGTATTACCCCGAGAGTGTTAAGGGAAAGAAGGAGATGGAATTTCTCGAGTTGAAACAAGGTAGTATGTCTGTGGTGGACTATACTGCTAAGTTTGTGGAATTGGTTCAATTTCATCCTCATTATGCTGCTATTACTGCTGAGTTTTCTAAGTGTGATAAGTATGAGAATGGCTTGCGTCCTGAGATTAAGCAAGCGGCGGGATACCAAAGAATAAGAAGATTTTCGGATTTGACCGAATGTTGTAGAATGTTTGAGGAAGATAGCAAGGCTCGTTCTACTCATTATAAGAGTTGGAATGAGAGGAAAGGAAAACAACAAGTTAGGAGTGGACCTTATGTGACACCTATTGATAAGGGCAAGCATAAGGGAAACTTTGAGAAGAGATCCGGAGGAGGAAGTTCTGGTTCCGTCAAGTGCTATAAGTGTGGCGAGATGGGCCATAAGTCTTTTGATTGTGGGAAGACCATTATGAAGTGTTCTAACTATGGAGGTATTGGACATGCTACAACTAATTGTAGAAGGAATGTGGTAAAGTGTTTTAATTGTGGAGAAGTTGGTCACATTAGTACTAAGTGTACTAAGCCGAAACAAGCTCAAGCGGGTGGAAAGGTGTTTGCATTAGCAGGTTCAGACACTACAAGTGCAGATCGTTTGATTAACGGTACATGCTTTATTAATAATGTGCCTTTAGTTGTGTCATACCCCAAATTTGTCCAACCCTGTCATTCTCTTTCGCTAAGTATTTGTGTCAATTCATGAATACTCTAGATAGTCATTTGGGCTTCTGATATTGTTTTTTTAAGATTTGGATTATGAAGGCCTCGTTTATGCTCGTGGTAATTATAAGTTCTTGCCAAAATGGAGGTGTCAAGAAGAGAAAAAATGTTTCATCTTTCCCATGATCAAACCTCAAAACAAGATTGATAGTTCAAGTTATATGACTGGTTTATTTTTAAGGTCTAATCAATTGGTTTTATTAGTTTTAAGCCATATATCAAGATGGGTTTAAGTTGCACTTCAACATGATGCTAAGATGATTTGGTCATATTTTAATTTGTTCAATCCAAGATTGAGTTGATTCAAAGATGATGAATGATTTTGAGGGTCATATGCAAATCATAATTTCAAGGACTGCTTTTGGTTTAAAAATGTTAAACCATGTTGTTCAAAATAATGCTGGCATGGGTTATGTCAAGACCATGGTTTTACGGGTTCAATCTTCATGAGGGCATTAGAGTACAGAGTCCGCATTACAAATATTCTCATGAAGTATAAAAGATGCCCAAAGATTGACTTCCAAACTTTCTCTTGATTTAAGCCAGTTGGTCAAATTTGCATCAAGTTATTTCGTGGTATGGGCTTCAAGTCATGAGCCAAGATATAGGAGTGATTTCATTTCAAGTTATTACCAAATTCTCGTCAAGTCAATAAGTTCTGAATATCGCCGTAGCTATCACAAGTGGTGTGCAAACCTTACATCACAACCTTGATACAACATCATTGTAATTTCTTTTTTAACACTGGCAAGTTCTGGTGCAAAGCATATGAGTTGGAATTATAAACTCAGTGGAATATTGAACATTAATTGCAGAAAGTTATAGGAAGCCCAATAGGCATACAAATTGTTGCCATGTCTAGGACGATGTTTTTTTTTACAAAAGATATTCTATCCTAAGGCAAACAACAAGCCACAGCAGTAA